TGAGCTCCTGTGAAGTAGAGGAGCAGAAAACCACTGAGGAAACTACATGAGAATGACAAGGGGCTAAAACACAGAGACCAAGGTAAGAAAACAAACTGAGAACGTAGAGTTAAAAAGGATAAAACAAAACAAAAGCAGAAATCAAAGAAAAAAACTATAAGAGATCTCAAAAGTGGGAAAAAGAAAACAAAACCAAACAGCTATGGCTGCTAAGCTCGTCTGTCTTTTGTTGTTGTTGCTATGACTGGTTGGTCTTCATGAGCCTCATCCACCTCTGGAGGTCACAGGTTCCATGCACACCCCGTCTGTCTCCTTTTTTAACAGTATTCCTCAGATTGATAAAGCTCAATTAGACTCTCCCCCTCTAATGAGCTCTTTTCATACCTAATCATGTCACTATCCTGTTACCAATTAACCCGGTTAGTGGGCATTTGGTCCTCCTGCTGGCCCCTTTCCCCTCTGCTGGCTTTTCCAAGATGTGTCGCCTCCGTTAAATCAAAGATGAGTTACTTTTTAAAGGAGACATATACATATTTTTCCTGAAATAGTAAACTTTCTCATGTCAATTTTTCAAGGTTGATTATTTCTTTAAAAAATATTTTTAAATAACCGTGCTCTGCTCTATTTACACTTTATAATCCCGTTTTTAAACCAGTTAGATATGAGCGTAACATAAGCAGGTAGCACAAATATGAAAGGTTAACTTCAGGGTCCAGAGAAAAGGAGTAGTTAAGTCTCCAGTCCTGAATGATAAGCGGCCCACAGATGCTACAGAGTATCGACGTTTCCTGCTTCCCCTCCGCGTATCAGGAGTCCTCCTCCTCTTATCCGCTCCACACGACAAAATACATGCAACCCAGCTTTGACTGTTTGCATTGCTTTCCTCCTCTGCTGACGAGAGGAGGACGCGCAATCAGCTGCAGATAGACAGGAGGCTGTGCAGGTCGCGCGGTGGGCAGAGCAACATGTTTCGGTCACACAAAAGCCTTTCATCAGGACGGCTGTGGTTACAGCCCAGCTCCCAAGGCCGTGTCAAGAAAACACCAGACAGGAAAAACATTCTCCTCCCCAGCTTTTTAACTCCCCGTGTCTTCGCTTTAGCCTGGGTGACTCTTTTCATACTTTAGGAGCTGAGCGGAGGAAGGGATCCGGAGAGGGAATGATGGCTAAGAAAGCGCTCTATTCCCAACATCGCAAATGACCCCAACATCCTTGTTAGTCCGCAGACTTCCTGTCAGACTGAGACCTTTTTGGTCAAGTCTCCATAGGAATATGCCACTCATTACTCTTAAAACATGTCAGCTACAGCCTGATTAGGCTTCCAAAACCTACAACACAGCATCTATGTATCAATATAATCCATTCCAGTGGTTTCCTGTAAGCAGCCCTCCTAATTGCTTCAGTAGAAGGGGTCTCGGTGACATCAACAGTGAGTCATTTTTGTGGTTTCGAGCCCAGACCTCTGGTTTGCCTCCTGCAGACTTCCCCACATACTTGCGTAGTGCGTGTGAGTCATTGTGGATAACAGGATGCAAACGTATCGTTTAACATTACAAGGACCGGGGCTGTCTCTCCTGACTAGGGGAGACGCCACTTTATCACAGACAGCCTGGTAATTGCCCAGATAGGCCGGCATGTTTTGAGTTTAAGCTGCGCGGCCCGGCTCTGAAGTGAGGGAAGAGGTGGGCGGGCAGTGTTGATGGGAGTTAAAACCATAAGCATGACAGCTAACGTAGCCAAGTCCGGACTGAGCCAACCTCCTCCGTGCCAGCAAGGGTATTAGCTGCCCTAATTGGCCTCTGGGTTTGGTTTGTCCTGAGGCTATCAGGCGACTGGACGCTCTCATTGATGTTTTCAACAATCAAGCTCTGGATAAAGGTCCTCAGAATGACATAAACGGGGGGTTGGGGGAGGCAAAAAACCAGTCGTCTCCATTCGCGTGAATCGTGTGGTTTCGTTCCCATGTCTTCTGTTTTGGGTCCCGTTCCTTAAATTCGCCTCCGTGGGCCTCAGCGAGATAATGAACCCCCGAAAGAAGACGAGGAATCAGAGGGAGAGAGGCAGAGGCTGCGACCACAGTGACGCGTTGTTTGCGAGCTGCGGTGTTCTGCACAATGAGGCCGGCCCCCGAAGCCCGTCTCCAGCATCCCACTGCATATTTCAGCACAATGTAAACACTCTGGCAAATATAGACATCGGAGGGGGAAGAGGGGAGCGCGCGCCCGCTCATCAGCAGTGACTGACAGCGAGGCCGCTCCACCACGCTGCCACCGCTATCGGCTGGCTGGCAGGAGGAGTTTTCCATTGTTGATGTCTCCCAGGCTCATCGCAATCCAAGTCCGCCTGCTTTGTTTATTTGCTCGCGTTTATTTTTATCCGACTCCCAGCTCGGAGCGCTCCTTTGGCTTCGGGAGGAAGATGGGGATGATTGGATGGGAACGGCGTTGTATGGCCGGGCCTCGGCTTTGAGGATATTCCGAGAAGGCCTCTGCAGGCGCGTGCTTGTTCCTGTTTTTGTTTTCCACCCATGTGCGTGCATGTTTGAAACGTACGTACGTCTGACATTTTACCCCCCAGATGCCCGGCTCTCTGACTGTCCTTTACAGCGGTCTTCAGAAACAGTTTGCCGTCTGTTTTCTTGCATTGTCACCCGACTGACCTTATATCTGAGCATGGGGTGTTTCAGTGTTCTTGAAGAATGGGGGAAATAGCGCTCACCTTATGGATTGTTCATTTAAAGTAATGAGCCATAACAACTTTCTGGGATAACCCCTTTATGTTCCATCAGGACATTTTACCCCTCGACCCTCTTTTTATGTACCCACACGTCGCACACCATTGGAAAAATTAACTTCTTAACACTCAAATGATAATTTACATCTCATTTAAGCTGAAATTTCTCCAAGGATTCTGACTCCTGAGGGATAGAAAATCTGTGTTTTATGACCTCAACCATGCCTCCTCTTGAAATGGTTCAAGAACAGCTTTAAATGTAGCTTGCATCCGCGTTTCAAAGGACAGAAAACTGGTTGAAGAGGGCGAAGACTGAAGTTATTAGCTGTTTTCCTGGGAAGAGATGAATAGATGAGCAATGGTTGAAGGTTTCTGCAGAATACTGTAGTTGGTGCAGTAAATGTAATGTAGCTGCATGAGAGGGAATTCCATCCCACAATGTCATAAACACAACGTCACCCTCCATATGCTCAGCCTCTCTCACAAATGCTCGGACAGAGACTACTGCGTTTCCCTCCGGGGTTAACAGAAAGTGTGGGAAAGAGTGAGAGAAGGGAAACATCCTCAACCTTCAGAGCACTGAGAAAAGAGAAAGGCTATATGCTGGAGCCCTAAATCTGCTGGATGTATGGACGTTGTTTTGCTTAGCGGCAGCCTGGAGGATCCTGGAGTCAGGGTGGGTGCTCTCTGCTTTTCTCATGAAGCCCAGCTTGGCATGATTAAGGGGCGATGGACATGTGGGCTGCATTTGGAGGACTGCTACACAGCTAAGCCGAGCTACACCGAAGATATTTCCCTTAAACTTTTCACTGTTGGGGCTAAAGTTCAAATAGGACAGCACAGTTGTTAAAGTCTTTAAATTTGGATGTATTTACAGATAAATGCTGGGACTGGAAAGCGGAAACATGGGAAAAATCTAAGTATTAGAACAATATTCCAGCCCTCTTTTTTCTAACCATTAATAGATGGCATTTTAGCACGACTACAGTCTGTTGAGCAGGATTTCTATCGAAAACCAAATTGCTCCCCTAACCCTCCTGAACAGAACATTACACTCAGCGGGAGAAAGAACAACCAGTCATTTCCACCCACAGAAGGACTATAACCAGCAGGTGGTTGTTAAATTCTTCCGACAACACAATTTGTGATTGGCAGCTTCGCATTTTCGGTGAGGAATAAAGGCGTTTTTCAAAAAACGCCTTTTTAAAAAAAGAAAAAAAAAAGGATTTGAAAGGCTTCAGACAGCTTTTTAACACACATGCCTTTTTACTGTTTATCTCTGTGGAATTTGAACTCTGACTGGAAACAGGTGTAAAGCATAAAGGCGTCCGTATAGCTCCAGGCGTTGACAGACATGAGCAGTAAAGCCCCGGGGGCGATCATGAAGCTTTTCCTGGTGTTTGGAGCTGGTTAGCATCTCTGGCTAACAGGCCCGGAGCATCGCCGCCAAAAAGCTCCTGGATGGCGAGAGCCAAAAAAGGTCAAGGCCGGCGTCGGCCTCCCGAAAGCTCAGTGAGGCTTTCATCAGTGCTTTCTGATTGGCTGCCCCAATGGGGGCTGAAGGAATAAGGAGCCTGTTTGGCCTTAGGGGGACTGTCAGAGAAGAAATGCTACATTAAGGCGCATGTTTCGATGAAGATCTGTCTTGGTTTGAACTAGTTTCTGTCCCATCTCAGTGCTTAGACCCAGTCCCTCTCACCAGGCGTACTCTCTCATTAAAACCTTTTTCCACTGAATCTAAAAATGGCGAGTAGGACATATTTTGTGAAATGGTCAGGAAGCCCCCCATGTCTTTTAGCTTTGGTCCCTTGTCCCTCTCAGCTTAGTGCTCTCCACTTGTGAACATCTGGTTAATGATTTTTTCACATTAACAGGTAAACTGAGCCTTTCTTTTAGAGAATGACAGAGTCTATTGACAACCATTTGCAAAGTTAATTCTTCGAAAATCGGAGGAGCGTTTTGTGCCAAGAAGTTTCTATTTTCCAGCTATTTAGGGTTAGGGTTAGGGTTAGTGGTTGTCACGTTTCAATGCGGTGGACAAATTACAGTTCGATTTTTCGAATACTAAAGGTAATAAAAATTAATTCAAACTTTTCTCTGAACCATCCGAGTGTTTCGGGGTCTCACAAACCCACTCCTCACAGAAAAAACATACCAAGTCTGCTACCTCACCCCTTCAGTTATCCCTCTGAGAGCCCTCAGCTCTGGAGCTGTGTGCTGGGAGGAGAGCTGTGCATTATCCATTTGCTATGCCTCTTCTGGCTTTGATGGATCAAAGAGCGTGTTTGAAGCTGGAAGAGCCGGGGACAGCGGAGCAAAACAGAACCCTGAGAGAGAAAGATGACAGAGGGCTGGCAGATGGAAGTGGAGCGGAGAGAGCGCCGAAGGGCCAGATGAGCTTTGACCGGGATACGAGGGCCTTTCATCAGCTGACCCAACCGAGAAGAAGCAGTGAAGGTGGACGTGTCATGTTTTTAGTCTGTTCTCATCCAGATCAATGTCCCCGAGACTGAACTAAATGTCAGTCAGCAGTTGTTTGTCTGCTATTTTTTGGGTTTGGAGAGTTGATTTTATGTTGAAAGCAGAGTCCAGGGAATGAAAAGATTGCAGGTTTTAGGTGGTAGGTGTGAATTTGGACGAGTGACAAACGGGAAAGATTTCTTTCTAACCAGATTAGAAAAGGAGGTGCGGAAACGGGAAGGAAATGTTGGAGAGACGATATACAGCCAAGGAAATGAAGTGATTCGGAGAAATTTCTGCTCGCGGAACGAGGAAAATAGAAGTGAAAAGCGGGAGGAAGGAAGAGGGGGAAAAAGGTAGAAAGAAGGAAATGATATAGTGGAAAATTAAAGGGACAAAACAGACGGTAACAAAAAAAGGTACGATAGGAAGCTGGTGTGGAAAAGGAAGTCAGCATCGAAGTAAAATTAACAAAGCAGGAAAAGATGGAGGCAGAGGAGAGATACGGGGGTTAAGAGAGCTCACGAGGTTAGAGAAGAATTAAAAGAGACCAGAGAAAATGGGTGGAGGTCTGTTAGCAGGAAGTTTTGGCCTGCGGAGATGGAAACACCCTTAAGGGGCCCCTTCACTGGGCACACGGATAGAAGGATGGACAAGACTAAATGATGGCGAGAAGAGCACAAACAGCTGTAAACACAGGTGTGGACCATCAGTTGGGCGGAGATGAAGCCTGGTACACTCTGCTTTCTGTGGACAGCAGCACAGAACTGGGCGATCATAATCAAACATGAGCGGAAGCCTGAGTCAGTGCGGAGTATCCGAACCACTCCCAGGACAGGGAACAGGAACCAGCCGAGGATCCCACTAGACATTTTCTGCTTAAAAATAAGTGGAACTGCCACATTTTTGTTAAATCCCAGATGGAGTTTGCAGCCTTTCTTCTGTTGAATGAAGATAAGAAAGAGCACGCCGGGGACATGCCAGGATCAGGTGTTTTACTGCCTGAACACGAGTTTAAGATGCTCACTGTTATTGTTGTCCTTTCCTCCCAAATGTGTTGGGATTCAAGCAGCTGTTCAAGTTTATTTTCATCAGAAAATAAAGAGGCTATGTGCGACACCTGGGATTTCCTCCCAATGCTCAGGAGAAAAACTTCATGAGATTACAAAGGTGTTTGTCCAGGAAAGTAAAGACGTAGCTGCCCTACAGTTATGAGTCAGGGAGAAAAGATTTAGAAAGATATGGGTTGCTTCACATGTTTTGAATGAACAAATAATGACAATGTCTTATATAATGAATCTGGCCTGTTTGACCCAGTGGAAATGAAAGAAATAACAGCCTGACCCAGCACGAGCCCATCGAATAATGAAAAACTAACAAGGAAAAAAAACAAAAAAAACACAATGGTATCCAGGACGATGTTTTTTAATTCAGGCTCCTGAAGCAACTGAAGTCGGTTCAACAACCTCCAGTTTGTCATTTTAAAGACTGGGCCTTTTCCCACCTGCCTCTGTCTGGATTTAGCTCTCTATCAGCTCCTGGGACTTCCTGTTGATCCCTGTGCCTACGCAGATGAGTGGCGGGGCTTTCACGCTGCAGACAGAAGGGAAGAAAAAGCGAGCTCGCCGTGGCCCCCGCGGCACACCGACAGTGTGGTGACACCCC